CCATGTATGTGAGTTTTCTAAGTAGGACCAATAAGATCAATATGTTATAAAAATCTTCTTTCATGCTGTCTTGTTTAGTAATTGGAGATTCAGAGAGGCTTTTCTTTACCTATAATCAGATTTTAATAGAGGGGATTAAAGCAGATACCTGCTAACAGCTGGTTCTGATGTTTCATGTGTTGAACTGGTTTTTAATGTTGTTGCATAGCTGGTGCTCTGGGTCTTTGATCTGCAAAGAAAAACATTAGTGATGTGGTTTATGCCAGACTTAGACTTAAATATCTGACTAAGTAAATTCAATGTATTCTGGAAGGTCATTAAAGAGGTGATCGTGTCTTTCCTTTTGCAAGGGCAAATTCTTTTCTGAGGCTTTGCACAAACATTTACACAATTGTTATTGAATTTGTAGGTCCACTCTAGAAAGTGAAAATAAATAATCTTCTTAGGAGAGGTGTGGCCTTTGACTGAAGGTATATTTTATTTTGATTTGATATGATTCTTTGATTCTGACTTAATGATGTCTTCTTCAAAGTACCCTCATAATTATTAACCTTGTTGCTGCTCTGTTAGACTCTAGAAGATGGCAAAAGTCCCATTGAACTTCCTGGGAGAATTGTTCTGTAACTTTTTGTCTAATACACATAAGATTTTGTTCCTGCGGGCGTAAAGGAAAAAACTGCTTTTTAGCAGTTCATATGCCTGTGCGGAGTATGGTCTTTTTTTAAAGAAAACCTTTGGCAGCTATTTAGTACAGTCTTAGTTTCAGCCTACCAAAATATTGGTTACTTTGGTGTCTCAGAGGTCAGTATTGAGAATCATCACCTGATAAGATTGCTGATACCCAAGTTCATAACATTCAGTATGATGTCTTTGCCAATATTGTTCAAAAATACAGTAATTTCAGAAAACTTTATATGGAGATAACTCTTTTCTTTGAGTCTTTACTTCCTATGCTGTTTCCTGCCTCAGCCTGTTACAGGGCTTGAGAGACCACTTTGCCTTGTTCTGTTGACATAATTAGCCACACCTTCACCAGAGTTGCCTTACTTATTTATGAGAGGGGGCTCAAATCTTGACCTTATGCTTAGATTTTCTTTTATCATATGAAGATGTGAATTGGCATTTGGAACTTGTTGCTTTAGCTATAACATACAATTTCTTTGTTAATGTGAATCCATGAATTCTCTAGTGCATTCCCTAGTCAGTCACTTTTTATATGCCATCATACAGAGAAGATGCATTTCCTACACAAAATATGATCTGTCATGGCTGGCCAGTCTGTCAAAACTGAGAACCCAGCTGCCCAGGTAAGTCAACATCTCTCCCTGGCTTAGCTGAACAGGATACTTCAAGTGGAAGAGCAAAAGAATCCAACTTGGAGTGCTCATCCAGTGAAGACAAAAATCAACATCCACAGGATTGTATATCCTAAGCTTAAAGGATAACAGCAGCTTGTTTAGATAATCTTTGACAACCTTATCTAGGATGTTAGATATGTTTCACATCACTGACTAACCAAGCAAAAGGTTTATTGTTGCAGCTGGGGTAACTACTGTGTTTGGCACCAGTGTACTACCAGTTTGGATCATGAGGGTTCAAGCAGTGTTCTGACTTTCCCGTTTTATAGGTCATTTTATATGCAACTTGTATCTTGGAGACTTAATATAAATGGCAGCTGGTGTAGATAAAGATTGAAAGTTTGTATCTTTAATTGAAATTCTCTTAAAAGTCAGTATTTCCATGCCTAAAGCCACTTTCCCTTTGCAAAAGTGAACTAAAGGATATTCTTGTGAGTTTTATAACAGCTTGTCTTTAATTTGAATAATTTGTGTGTAGGGGTAATGTTTAGGGGTTTTTTAGTTGACCTATAAAGTTTCCACTGAAACTATTTAGTCTTCCAGCATGAAACTCCCTCTGAAAAATAATTTGTTGTTTCCATGGATACAGATAGATCTCTAGACCAGTGGTCTCCAAACCTTTTTGATCATGCACCCCGTCAGTAAAAAAAAATTGAGCGTGCATCACCAATATCTGTATATTTATTTATAAATTATGTACATGTACTACTGTACTAATCTATTATGTACACTATAAAACATACCCAAAAATGGAAATTAAAGATGAGATAAAGATTAAATAAAAACTATTTTTACAGTACAAAAAATATTTTCTTCTCACACCTCAATGGATTGTCTTGCACACCTCTTCAGGTTTTCACATCCACTTTGGAAACCACTTCTGCTCTTACGGGGCGATGCCCCAGGCAATGTAAATAGGAGATCTAAAGGCCAGAGAGAAACTGTTTATGAAGAGTCCTGCAAGTATTCTGATATACGTGTGTTAGAGACTGCATTTAAAGCAGGTGCCGGGGTTTGATCCCTGTATATGAAATTGATTGATTTGTCTTCCCTTCCTACTTCTATATGTCTTGGACTGGGAGTAGGAAAGGCCAAGTGAAGTTTTATAACATTCAGTGGTCTGTTTTACAGTGGCTTTTCACACCCATGAAACAACTGGATATTTGACTTTCTTTATTGCAGAACCTAGGAATACTTGGGTTTTTTTATTTTTGTAATTTATCGGATATCTTTGTTTTGTTAATTTGGACTAACATGTCCTGGTGTTTGACTTTGCATGCTGTTGATATATTTTCTCAGTGCTGCTATTCAAATCCACATAGTCGTGTGTTTCGGACATCTTTGTTTGCAGGCTGTTTGCGAGGTACTCCCCTATAAACAAGCTTTCATCGTCTTTAAGGGAAACTTAGAAAACTTGGTGTTTGGCTGTTGTGTGTTTTGTTGTTGTGGTGGTGGTTTTTTTTGTTTGTTTGGGTTTTTTGTCCTTCCAAAAGTTTTTAATTTATTCATTCCACAACCAGCTTAGGAGAGAACAGAGGGATCTGTGGTATATTCTTTAGGAAAAAAAAAAAAAAATCCTATAGTGTAAGCCAATGAGCCAAATAATGTTTATAAGTTTAAGGAGAGGGAGCTTTGTTGTACTGTCCTAATCTTAAGACATGATGATTCTAAATTTCTTTTTGAATGTGAACTTTGTAGCTTTACTGTATGCTGTCCCAGGAGTTAGCTTGCTTGTCTTTCTCCCTTAGCCCTTAATTTACCATGTCTTAGCATGTGTCAGACATTGCAGGAGTTTTTAGAGCTTGTTTTGGGGTAGTGATTGCATGGCTTTTATATGGTTGGCTTCCTAAACTTACGCATCCCAATCTGTATGTATCTGGAAACATCATGTGTTATTTAAATGCCAGTTGTTTTTAAATTGATGGGAAATGGCAAGGTGTGAATAAGAATATGGGTAGAGCTTAACTTCCTACATAAGCTAAGTATATGCTGCTTCCTTATACACTTTTCTGACCAGTGTGGCTATTTGTATGCTCTTAGTGTACTGTGATCTGGATGATTTTTTTTTTTAATTGGAACACAGTTGTTACCATATCCCCACCAACATTTTGTACTGAAACTCAACAAAAGAGAAGTTACATCACAATACTGTTTACCAGTAAAGTTGTTGCGAATAAAGAGTTAGGCCTTCATCTAGTCATATTGGAATTTTACGTTATAAACTATTGTACAGCGTTGATAGTCCACATTGCTAAAGCTGTGATGGACTTTGTTTAGAAGTACAATTTGTTGCTGTTCTGAAAATCATAGATAAAAGTAAAGCTATCTTTTTCCTGATGTCCAACATGCTTCAGAATCCATAGCCATATTTCAGGGTCAGTAACAGCAGTTGCAGAGCTTTTTTCATTGTGCTACTTGCTGCTGCTTCATGCTACTTTGAAGCCAGACCTTCAATAGTGTGAGAACCAGGTCCTGATCTCTGAGACCACAGAATGTACAGTGTTTTAGTTAAACACCTGAAGTTAAACATGGTTGTGTTGCTTTGACTTTCAGCAGGGTATATTATGAGAAAAAATGAATACTGTATTGATAGGAGAGGAGAATTCTGAGGTCGATTTGTTATTTGACTGGTAGTATAAAACTGATAATACAGAACATCAAATGCAGAATAAGATTTCCTTCTGACAATCTCCTCTTCTGTTAGAAGGGAGGTGATGTCTGGAAGATATATGTCAAGCCCTCTATTCTGTGAACTTTCTAGAGATTTGGAGCAGGAGTGAGGGAACTGCAGGGGCTCAGCAGTGAAGTATGAATTGATGCTGCAGATGAAATTCTTTTGATTGTTTTTCTGTGGAGATGCAGGACTTGAGGTATGATGCTAAATTTAGCCATTCCCTAAAATACTAACATTACTTGCACATACGAACAAGAAGTAACTTACCACATAGCTTGTCAGTATTTTGTTTCCAGTAACTTCTTGTCATTACTGAAGTGCGGCAAATCAGTTTATCTTTAGTTGCACAACCCAAGGTGAAGAAACAAAGCTGATTAGGCACTCACTAAATTAAATTTTGTTTACGCCTTAAGAGATGTCTCAATCCACTAGTATGAGTGGTATTAGAATACATCTTCCTGTGTCCTGATTTGGTTGACTGTCTTCAGACTTTTTTGTGTCATGTAGAATTGGCAGGTGCTATTTATAAAACAGAACGGTTGGTTTCATAATTGGGTTTTAAGTTATGGATGGTCTGTACTCGCTGGTAGTTATGAAGCTGACTTACTTTTATGCATCTGGCTTCTCAGTGTGTAAAACTTCAGTATGTGTAGAAGCAGGTAAAGTAACTTAACCAGATAACTAGGATCCCAGCTGGGGGGAAGGAGAAGCAAAATGAGCCAATGTGAGCATTTTTACAAGCTCTAATAATTTTTTTTTAATCACGTGAGTTACCTAGTGCACTTGGGTACTCACTACACTTGAGATGCGGCGTGGAAGGAGGGACCAAGGTTGTCTTACAGTCTTGAATGCATAGATGAGGGAAAGGAAATTGAGCAACTTACACATTCTTCAGCATATTTGAAGGTGTTGGATTTTTTTTCAAGCTCTTCTTGGTGTGTTAGCTCTAAAATTTTGCTTATTAGATTATGTTTACATTGAAGGGTGAAGATGTCAACCGGACACTTGAAGGTGGGAGGAAGCCTCTTCACTATGCAGCAGACTGTGGACAGCTTGAGATTCTGGAATTTCTGCTATTGAAAGGAGCTGATATTAATGTATGTACATCGATTTGCAAACAGATGTTAGGGTGTTAGGATGTCCTCCCCCCACACACATATATAAGGGATTGGTATAAGTGCCTAAGTGGTTACTGAAAGACTTAAATCAAACTAGATTTCATGCATTTAAAAATACTTGAGAGGTGGTCTCCTAGAGGTTAGAAGCTTAAAATTACATTTATTAAACATTTTTATTCTTTTTGGACACGCTAGGAAAAGTTGTTTGTAGCTATAAAAGGTTAAATTTAATTTGACCATGATTAGAAAAATAAATCCAGTAATCACATCTAAAGAAAGTTTGCATGGAATAACCCAAAGTTTGTTGGAAGGGACTTCAGAAGACAGTGTAATGCATCCTTGGCCAGGGCAGATCAACTCTGTTTAAATTGGTGCGCTTCTCTCTTTTTTGGAGACATTCTTACTTGCACAAACTTAGTCATTTTGCTGTAGCTTGAAATGCATGGCTTTTTGTCGTGAAAAGATTTGGCTGGGCTGTATTGGCACTTCAAAATACTTTAGTTGTGCATAAAGTGAAGTTTCTAAATACTCTAACCATACACCCCTAACACTGTGCTTTAGAATACTTGTCTGAAAGTTGATGTACAACACATCTTAGCTTTAGTCCTTATCAAAATGGCTTGGATTTTTTCTTTGGTGTCTGGAAAGGTTCTCTCTTCCTCAGGAGTTCTAACTGGAGAGGAGGAAAAAATGGGGGAAAAAATAAGAACATTTCAGTTGCTCCATTTCTTATTCTAAACTATAGTTTAGAGAGGAGAAGACAGCCCAAACAATGTTTCAGCCAAAACTGGTGTCTGAAGTCAGGCTGGCTGAGAAACAGGAGACTTAGGAGTACTGGTTTTAAATTGGGCAAAATTTGTCAGCTGAAACACCACAATTTCTATCATTGGCCTAAAAAAATAGACAAACTTTGGGATACCTAGAAGTCTTATGGAAGAAATATCTTGCTGTTACTTGACTGTTTTTTAAACAATGACTTTTCTTTTTAGAAAGGAGAGTAAAAAATTCTGAGGGAATGCATTTCTGGATAATATTCTTAAATTCTTACCTTCACTCTACTGTTGACAAAACAAAATTAAAAAGTTAAGTGAAACCTTTTAATGCTGTGTGATACTGTGCTTCAAATAACTGTGTCTCAATTTACAGGCTCCAGACAAACATAATATCACACCACTCCTATCAGCAGTCTATGAGGGCCATGTTTCCTGTGTGAAATTGCTTCTGTCAAAGGTGAGATACAAATTTAGATACTTGTTTAGAACAAGTTATCCATTAGCAAAGTGTATTACTATATGATTTTTTTCAATGAGATTATGATGATCCAGATAAGTTCAGAACATCAAACAAATGCTGTTTATGTTGCTAAACCAGAGAGGGTACTCTGGTTGTTGAGAAGATAATTGAAGGAGAAAGTTCCAGGACTTTTGCAGTGTAGCAAAAGTAATAGTGACCACTAAGAGTATTGTGAGCTCCAGCTAGAGAGCAATTAACAGCAAATCAGGCAAGAAAAAAGATGCATTCCTTCAGCGGACAGGGAGGAGCTGAATTTAGCTTTGGCAGCTGCTTAAGTGTTTCATGTGATGGAATCTCCACTGTGAAGTTGCTCAGAGGTGTGGTTTCCCTCTGCTTTTGCCAGATGACTGAAAACCCATCTGGGTTGGCAGAGTGAGGGGAAGTAAAAGTAGGAAGGCAAGCTTTCTCTGTTACAGAGCTTGTAAATTTTGTCCTGGGGAGAATTAAGCTTCATCTGTTTCTGTTCTCCCTTTGATTCATATTACAAAGGTAATCCATTTTACAAAGCAGTAGTTAATTCAAGCAATGTTTTGTCTCCATTCACATGTGCTCCTTCTTGTTACACCTCACTTACTTTGGAAAGAGGAGGTTAACGGTGCATTTTCAGTATATGAACCCAATTAAATCATTTGGCCAAAGGATTTCATGCTGTGTAATGTTTTCATATGCCACTTCCAAAGTAAAATGGTTTTCCTTAACTGCCTTAATGCTGCATGAATTTCACTTTTCTTCACTTCTGTGATCCTGTCTAATCTTAGTTATGCCCTTCTGTGAAGAAATGCTGTGACTGTTAATTTAGTGTTCAAATGGTGCATCCTACTTGCTTAAATTTGTTGTGAGGACTGATCCTTCATTTAGGATCATTATATACATGTTACAAAAAAGGGTATCCTTTATCCCATATTGTATTTCTTTCCATTTCTGTTTTGAAGTGTTTTGCGTTCTAAATAAATTGCTCAAATAATAAATAAAATGCCTCAAAACTCGAGTTCACACATGAATTGTCTCGCAACTAGTAAGGGTTGTGCATTCACTGTAGTCACTGTCAGCGAGGGCATTAAGGTCCTTCTGAACCAGCTATTCTTCATGCAGTTTGTGAGAAGGTATTGATCTCTATACTTGGTACAATTTGAATGGAATTGGTTAAGCTTGACAGTCATAAAGATGAGGCAATCTTACAAAGATGTGCAGAATGTTATAAGAAAGTGAACTTGGACTAGGAGATGAGGTTAGAAAAATGCTACTGCAACATGATAGTTTGGGAAAGCTTGTATTATTTTCAGATTTCTTCATGCAGAGCTAAATGTTGCACCACATCTGCTTGCTTCCATTCACGTAGGCTAGCTGATGAAATACTTATGGACTGGAACTTTGCTCATCAGTTCATTCTGTTTGAGGCAGATCTTATATTAAGAGGTTGTTCTTTCTCTTAATACAGCTATCTTATGACACTTGTTTGAACATCTGTTGTCACACCTTGTTTGTCACATAGTCTGATTTCATATGTTCTTTAATAGCAGATACCTGGGAGATCAGGTAGTTCAACACTTACTGAAAGTTCTAAAAATTACTGACTGTTTAACTTTGACTGTTTAATGTTCTTCCTAGCTACTTTTGGAGTGGAGTGTATTTTATTGTTACTCCAAATGCAGGACAAACATTGAATGTCTGATGTTGGTGTATGTAAATTGTGGAACTGCAAATACAAATGATGGACTAATATACTTAAGATTTTTCTTCAAAGCTGGTCTTTGTTGCTTTTGTAAATACTACACTTCTACTTAATGCTAAGAAGCTTCATTATTTTACATGTACCTACTTTCAGCTGCCTTTATTTACCCTGTTAGTTGATCTCTTGCATATGTGGCCCCTGTCATAGAATATCCCTTAAGCTGTTGGACTAGAAGTCAATAACCTCCTTAACATATTTTAAAGAGGAAAACAAAAATAATGAGTATTTTTTTTGTACTTTCACAAGTTTGGAGAACCGATGAACGGTGTTGCATATCTCCTTAGTCTGTTTGCATACCACAAATATAAAAAAGTTAGCAGTTTGATCAAGTTAAAATTATGTGAGGAATAAGAGATTGTTCCTCTTCACCTGCTAAGATTAGATTTAATATAAATAATTCTATGTTGGATGCAGTTGTTGATTTGGAAATTGAATTGTTTTAAGCTAACATTCTGTACTGCCTTCTACAGTACGTGAATCATGGGGATGTTCGTAAACCTTTCATGTGAGACTTTTGAGCTATTGAGAGGGGGAGGGGTGTTCCAAGAAATGTTTCAGACATTAATCGGACATAAAATGCAAAAAATATACCTTAATAAAAGTATCAAATATGAAAAAGATTAACTTAGTCAAGGTCACTTCCAGGATTTCTGTAAACTTTCTGTTACTGTAGAAGATTTATTCATCTGATGGAAGTAAGCTGGTTACTCTTTCATGTAGTATGACCGCGGAGCATTCTTTCAACGATCTTCCACTGAAAGCAGTAAAAGCATTAAAAGTATTTGGGCGTAATTCACTTTCAGAGGATAATATATACGTATAAATAGTAGAGACACTGAATCAAGATTCTAAGCTCTTAAACTGACTACAATGATTAGAGTGGCCCCTTGATCTTAAGCTGAAGTAGCCTGGGCTGCTGCAAATCTGCGCTTTCTGTTGTTGATACTGGTGATCATGCAGTTGCACAGTGAAACACAGTCAAGCTGCTTCTAAGCTCATATTAGAAACAATTTACACTCGTAAGAGCTTAACGTGAAAAGTACTGGGGGACCAACGCTGGCTTTTACCAGTTCAGTCTCTACAAAAGTTTTTAATATATATGTCACGTGACTAATACAATTTTCTCTAGATGATACTAATAGTTGAAGCCATTACACCAACTGTTGTTTCTTAAAAAGCAGCAATTTGTTTTATGGAATTTCAAGTAACTTTCAACAAGGCTTTCCTATGATAAAGCATGGTTTGTTACTCTTGTTATTCCTCAGAAACGACTGTTTTGGGGTTCTTAGCTAATGCTTATCACACATGGAATTTGAATGCTGTGGTGACACTGTGTCTAAGATACAAATGGTTTATCTGAGGATCACTGTCAGCCCGCATACAGCTGAACCGATAGAATCATAGAATCATTTACATTGGAAAAAACCCTTAAGATAATCGAGTCCAACCGTGAACTTAACACTATCAAGTCCACCACTAAACCATGTCCCTAAGTGCTACGTCTACACGTCTTTTAAATACCTCCAGGGATCGTGACTCAACCACTTCCCTGGGCAGCCTGTTCCAGTGCTTGACAACCCTTTCAATTGTGAAGAATTTTTTCCTAATATCCAATTTGAAGTTTTATGTGAAGGCAGTGGAGGGAGAGAGATATTTCAAATTCTCAAGAGCTCCCTGAAGCACCGATCTGGTTTGACAGTACCATAGCAGGGTGACACCTTGGACAAGCCCTCTGTCTCAGAAGCAGAACTTTCTACTTTATTCTGCAGTATTTGTAGGAATATGTTGAGGAAAAGCATAGGTAAATCAGGTTGGACTATATCTAACATGCAGATTAAATAATTTTTAAAAAGTCTGGAAGGGACCCCAAGAGGTTATCTTCAAGTCATTTTTAAGAATGCCGCTGTTGTAGTAGATGACTGTCTGACTTGTTCTTGAAGACCTTTCGTCCGCCATTCCCTAATATATTCAACTTTCCGTCATGCTGGAGTTCAAACTGGAATAGAACTGTAACATTGTTTGTCAAGTCATAGTATCACCACCATGATGGAAGTTGTGGCTTGGTTTGGTCAGCTTCTGAATAAAATTACTGTTGCTGGGAGAGTTGTGTTGCATTGCATATCCTGTATCTAAATCCTGTGGCTCTCGGGTTTGAATGTATATAAAATCATATAAATACGCTTCTTTCTGAAAATCCAAAAGATCTTACTAGCAACCTTAACTCTTAACTTGAGTAACTTTGTTTTGGGCATTCGTAAGTGTAGGGAGATAGAATTTAACATGCTGCTTTCTGAAGAAACAAAGTGGGAGAACTGTGGTGTGTGATCTATAAATGGCCCATTCCTTGGGCAATTTGAAATATTCCAGTTTTAAAGCCGTTTTTGAGGCTGTAGTTTGACAAGACAGAACATTCAATGGTATAAGGAGTGTCTACGCTATCACCACTCCCCTAAAATGGATTTTGTATGGCGGCCTTTGGAAACGGGTGAGGAATCTAGCAAGATCTTACAAAAAACAACCTCATCAGTAGCCTTGTCAGGATTGATATGGGTCTGTGGAGATGGGGGGGGACCTAATTAAGCAGGCATTGCCACTGGATGCTTTGTAACATACAGCCAATGTGCAGTTATGTTTAAATCTGCCCAGCCAGATACTTGAGTTGTCTTCAGAAGTTTAATTCGTGGTGTTCTGCAGCAGTTTTAATCACATAAGAGTGAAGGAGTGCTTGTATGCAGTCTTTCTTGCCATACTGTCCCATCAGTGAGTGAGATAAGCACACTACCAACATTAGGCTGCAGTCCCATGTTACAGCTAAGCCAGTGCAAAGACTAGTTGCCTGCAGAACAGGTGATGCTGTTCAGTCTTTAATACTCTTGCCTGCATATTGCTACTGCTTCCTTGCAATAGACCTGGCGTTTACGCTGTTCATTTGTCCCTATTGCAAGTTAATTTTCTGTAGTTAGTTTCCTGCCAATTGAGGCCTCCAAATTCAAGTTCTGTTGTGGATTTAGTTCCTAGTGTTAGTTTATGGAACTGGAGAAACACTGGTGCCAAATCAAGAGACAGAACTGAAATATCTTCAGTTTCACTTCAGCAGCTGCCTTGGGAATTTTTTCAGTGTTTTTACAGTGTGACCTACCTGTTCCAGAGGGTGGTCTCCTGGGTTTGATTACAGTTTTTGTAGATGTACAATAGAACCCAGTTT